ATGTATGTACGTGCTGACTGTGTGTATGTACATGCTAGCTGTATGTATGTACATTATGGCTGTGTGTATGTACATGCCTGCTGTGTGTATGTATGTACGTGCTGGCACACCAGATTAAGAACCACTGCCTTACTAGTATATAATGCAGCGAAACGTCGGACTTGCCACGTGTTAAATCTGTGTGGATTGTTCCAGCTGTTGTTGCTACTGAAGCGGTAATAGATGGGCCACGTGGGTTCACCACGGGGCAACGTCATGAATTGGGCTCTGATGTCGGGTGGAGCAAGGGCGTACGACACGTAATAATTCACTTGCACGGTGATCTGAGGGACCGTCCATAAATGACGTCACGCACGGGGGGGGGGGGGTCAGACATTTGTGACGATGTGTGACGAGGGGGGGGGGGGAGGGGGTTTCAGAAATTTGACGTCTCATCAAAATGCGCAACTTTCAATAAATATAGACAACACGTTGTACTGAATTAAGTAGACTTTTTAATAAATGTTTTCTCCTACAACATCAGAGTGCAGCGCCACATTAAATACGCACAACAATGACAATAGTTCAATAGTTTAAAGCGATATGAAGCATGTTTTATATATATTTTTGGGGGGGGGGGCAGAGCTTTGTGACGTCATATTTGAGGGGGGGTCTGACTTTTTTTGACGGTGTGACGAAGGGGGGAGGGGGGGAGGCAAAAATCGTCCAAAATCGCGTGACGTCATTTATGGACGGCCCTTCACCCAAACGGTTAATTGTGAATCAGCATTACTGAATTGGTGGCGAAAGCCTTGTGTGTTCACATAAATAATGTCGTCAAACAACTCACCTATATGATCTCTCTAAGGCTGCCCCTCGTAGTTTATTGCCGGGCTGTGAATGTACGTGAGGAGCGGTGGCGCAGTGGTTTGGGCACTGCCCTGTTAACATCGGTGACATAACTGAACGGACCGGGCCTGGGCGTCCGCCAGGTTTACTGGGCCTCAAATGAGTAACTAACTGGCGCGGTGTGTTAAACATCGCTGTGACCAGCCCCTTCGGGTGCTCGCTAGCAGCACTTGCCCCCAGCAGCCCGTGGAGGCTGCAACGGGAGAGATCTTTTGTGCGTTGTGCCTCGTGTGGGGGATTTGCTTGAGAGCGCTGGCGCAGTTGTGTTAGCGCACCGAGCTAAAGACCCGGGCGAAGAGAGTTCTATGTCGAGCTCACGGCCCAACATCAGTGACGAATACCGCGCATGAACCGGTCATGGGCCCTCCCCTGGGCTGTCTGTGTGTTCAAATTCACACTGGGGAGACAAAGGTGGCCGTGGGGTTGGCGCCGGGAGGAACCGGCGCTAATAGGCGCTCACGAACAACACTGTGCAGCCAGCAGCTCCATGTCGGCTTATCCAGGAGATCATTGCCTTGGCCGCTCTGTGTTGCATTGCGCATGTGCGTTGAACGTCTTTCGCACCGTACGTAGCCAACCGCGCTAATTGGGACGTGCGATCTCGATGATGTAAAAGTGCATCGCTCCGGGTGCTTCCTTAACGTCGTGAAGGAAGAGAGCGTTCCAGACGGCCGCAGAAGCGCCGCCGCCGTCTGTTCGATGATGAGCGGAGTTCACGTGGGTGATTTCAGCCTATAGAGGGCACTCGGTACCCTTGTGTATACACTGCACGTGTGTATACCTTGTGTATACACTGCGAGTATGTATACCTTGTGTATACACTGCACGTGTGTATACCTTGTGTATACACTGCACGTGTGTATACCTTGTGTATACACCGCACATGTGTATACCTTGTGTATACACTGCACGTGTGTATACCTTGTGTATACACTGCACGTGTGTATGCCTTGTGTATACACTGCACGTGGGTATACCTTGTGTATACACGGCACGTGTGTATGCTTGGTGTATACACTGCACGTGGGTATACCTTGTGTATACACCACACGTGTGTATACCTTGTGTATACACCACACGTGTGTATACCTTGTGTATACACCACACGTGTGTATACCTTGTGTATACACCGCACATGTGTATACCTTGTGTATACACTGCACGTGTGTATACCTTGTGTATACACTGCACGTGTGTATACCTTGTGTATACACCGCACATGTGCATACCTTGTGTATACACTGCACGTGTGTATACCTTGTGTATACACTGCACGTGTGTATGCCTTGTGTATACACTGCACGTGGGTATACCTTGTGTATACACGGCACGTGTGTATGCTTGGTGCATACACTGCACGTGGGTATACCTTGTGTATACACCACACGTGTGTATACCTTGTGTATACACCACACGTGTGTATACCTTGTGTATACACTGCACGTGTGTATACCTTGTGTATACACCGCACATGTGTATACCTTGTGTATACACTGCACGTGTGTATACCTTGTGTATACACTGCACGTGTGTATACCTTGTGTATACACCGCACATGTGTATACCTTGTGTATACACTGCACGTGTGTATACCTTGTGTATACACTGCACGTGTGTATACCTTGTGTATACACTGCACGTGTGTATACCTTGTGTATACACCGCACATGTGTATACCTTGTGTATACACTACACGTGTGTATACCTTGTGTATACACTACACGTGTGTATACCTTGTGTATACACTACACGTGTGTATACCTTGTGTATACACTGCACGTGTGTATACCTTGTGTATACACTGCACGTGTGTATACCTTTTGTATACACTGCACGTGTGTATACCTTGTGTATACACTACACGTGTGTATACCTTGTGTATACACTACACGTGTGTATACCTTGTGTATACACTGCACGTGTGTATACCTTGTGTATACACTGCACGTGTGTATGCCTTGTGTATACACTGCACGTGGGTATATCTTGTGTATACACTACACGTGTGTATACCTTGTGTATACACTGCACGTGTGTATATCTTGTGTATACACTGCACGTGTGTATACCTTGTGTATACACTGCACGTGTGTATACCTTGTGTATACACTGCACGTGTGTATGCTCCATAATGTAGGGGGGGGTTTGGGTGAGATCGCGTCAATTTAAATGTCCTTAAAGCCCGCCACCACCACCCGACACAGCCAAGGGGCCCTCCATAAATTACGTCACGCGATTTTGGACGATTTTTTACCCCCTCCCCTCCTCGTCACACGGCGTCACAAAAAGTCAGACCCCCCCCTCAAATATGACGTCACAAAACTCTGCCCCCCCCACCCCCCAAAATAAAACATGCTTCAAATCGCTTTAAACTGTTGTCATTGTAGTGCGTATTTAACGTGGCGCTGCACTCTGATGTTGTAGGAGAAAACATTTATTAAAAAGTCTATTTAATTAAGTAGAACGTGTTGTCTATATTTATTTAAAGTTGCTCAAAACGCCCCCCCCCCCCTCGTCACACATCGTCACAAATGTCTGACCCCCCCTAGATGCGTGACGTCATTTATGGACGGCCCCAATTAGTTAAGATTGTGTCACGTAAACAGAACGTGACCAATTCGTCACTAGCACAGCACAAGTGTATAGGAGTGCAGTGTATAGTGTAGTGTATAGTGTAGTGTATAGTGTAGAGTATAGTGTAGTGTATAGTGTAGTGTATAGTGTAGTGTATAGTGTAGTGTACAGTAGTGTAGTGTATAGTATAGTCGTGTAGTATATAGTAGTGTATAGTAGTGTAGTGTATAGTGTAGTGTATAGTGTAGTGTATTGTAGTGTAGTGCATAGTGTAGTGTATAGTTTAGTGTATAGTATTGTAGTGTATCGTGTAGTGTATCGTGTAGTGTATAGTGTAGTGTATAGTCGTGTAGTGTATAGCGTAGTGTATAGTTGTATAGTGTAGTGTATAGTGTAGTGTATCGTGTAGTGTATAGTGTAGTGTATACGAGTACAGCACTGTCGGAGAGGGTGAATCCACAGCGTTTACAATTTAATTGGCTGTTTCGGGTGGTGGCGGGTTTTATATATTTACGCGATCTAACCCCTCTTATGGATGACATTGGTAGCGAAAGTCTACGGTGTTAAACGTGTGTATACTGTATGAGTGTCCATGTTAACATGCATTTATGTGTGTACGTGTGTGCGTATGTCCACGTGTGCGCGTATGTTTAAGGCTATACGGGCGATTGTTATCTTTGTACGTGTATAGTACTATCTATAATCTGGTTAAAATTTGTGGCGTTTTTTTAATATAACCGGTAACCGCGTGGTGGAAAACCGGTTTGTGTGTGTTTTTTAAACCGGTTAATACGGGTTCGCCGCACATACATAAATATCTGGAGCGGTAAACGTGAGATGTTTTTTTGTCTTGTTAAACAAATTTTAACTGAGAAAAACCAAAGCAACTTCCCACAATCGAGCGCGACTTGAAACAATGGGACAAACCCGGCTCCGACAATAACAATAATCTTGGCATTGTCTTTGAAACTGACGGCGGCCTGCTCTCACCAGCGGTGTCGGACCATGGAATAACGCCAAAAGGCGAAGGGTAACAAAGACAAGGCGAGTATCAGAGCACTTAGAGCTCGGGTCGAGATGATGTATCTATGCCTTTGTGCCAGTATCAAAAATGATGACAAAGAAGAAGAGGGTTTTACCCTTCGTGGAAATAAAACTTGTGTTAGGATTTTGACTTAAAGCTTTCGTGACTGCAGGGATTCATATTCTTGGTTCTTTCGGTAAAGTCACCACGTAAAAGGGAAACAATGAAATGATAAAAAAAAATAAAACAATAAAATTATCTTCTACGTGACTTTACCGAAAGCACCAAGATTATGGTGTTAAGAGGTTCAAACCTTTTTGCAAGGAATCAAGCGTGCATTAACCACACGTACTTATAGTAAACATGCAGTCTGATAGAAGGTATGCACTTCAGCGTATGTATGGGGGGGGGGGGGGGTACGGCAGTGCAGTACAACGGATGTCGCCGAGCGACGGGATCCACGGAGTCGTTGACCGCCCCCCTCTCTCACCCGCTAACCCCCCCCCCCCACCAGGCCTCTCCGCTGGACGTGAAGGGCGGCCTAGGGCCGGGCCTCGTGTCGTGCGGCCCTGCCGCCCAACCTCCGGGCCTCTACGGCCTCTACCCGGGGCCCCCCGCGGGGCCCCCGCCGGGCTGCTTCTCGCCGTACGGCCTCGGCGGCGACCACGGGCGGCCCAAGAACGCGACGCGCGAGAGCACGGCCACGCTCAAGGCGTGGCTGAGCGAGCACCGCAAGAACCCCTACCCCACCAAGGGCGAGAAGATCATGCTGGCCATCGTCACTCGCATGACGCTCACGCAGGTGCGGTGGTGGTGCCTGTGGTGGTGCCTGTGGTGGTGGCCGTGGTGGTGGCGGTTGTTGCGGTGGTGGCGGTTGTTGCGGTGGTGGCGGTGAATGTCTTGGTGGAGGCGGTAACGGCGGTGGAGGCGGCGGTGATTGTGGTGGTGCCGGTGATTGTAGTGGTGCCGGTGATTGTGGTGGTGCCGGTGATTTTGGTGGTGCCGGTGATTTTGGTGGTGCCGGTGATTGTGGTGGTGCCGGTGATTTTGGTGGTGCCGGTGATTGTGGTGGTGCCGGTGATTTTGGTGGTGCCGGTGATTTTGGTGGTGCCGGTGATTGTGGTGGTGCCAATGATTGTGGTGGTGCCGGTGATTTTGGTGGTGCCGGTGATTTTCGTGGTGCCGGTGATTGTGGTGGTGCCGGTGATTTTGGTGGTGCCGGTGATTGTGGTGGTGCCGGTGATTGTGGTGGTGCCGGTGATTTTGGTGGTGCCGGTGATTTTCGTGGTGCCGGTGATTGTGGTGGTGCCGGTGATTTTGGTGGTGCCGGTGATTGTGGTGGTGCCGGTGATTTTGGTGGTGCCGGTGATTTTGGTGGTGCCGGTGATTTTGGTGGTGCCGGTGATTGTGGTGGTGCCAGTGATTGTGGTGGTGCCGGTGATTTTGGTGGTGCCGGTGATTGTGGTGGTGCCGGTGATGCCGGTGATTGCGGTGGTGCCGGTGATTTTGGTGGTGCCGGTGATTGTGGTGGTGCCGGTGATTGTGGTGGTGCCGGTGATTGTGGTGGTGCCGATGATGTCGGTGATGACACCGTCATTGACCCCGTGTGTCCCCTCCCGCCCCGCGCCGCCCCTCAGGTCTCCACGTGGTTCGCAAACGCGCGGCGCCGCCTCAAGAAGGAGACGCGCGGCGGCCCCCGCGACGCGGACGACCTCGAGACGAGCGCCAGCGACGACGGCTGCGGCGGGGGGCGAGGCGGGGGAGGGGGCGAGGGGGAGGGAGGGGCAGCGGTGGTCGGTGCGGGAGGCCTCCGTGACCCCGAGCGACCCCCGCCCGGGTCGTGGACACGCAGGGACGAGGAGGAGGAGGAGGACGACGACGACGACGACCTGGAGATCGACCTCGAGAACAGCGACGGGGAGCAGCGGCGGCGGCGGCAGCAAGAGGAGGAGGAGCGGCAGCGCGGCGGCCTGCACGGGCGACTCCTGGGCGCGGAGAGGCGCCGCGCCAGCAGCAGCAGCGGCGGCGGCGGCGACGACGACGACGAGGGGGAGTCGGAGTGCGAAGGGCGCAGCGGCACGGGGGGGGGTCGGAGGTCGCCCGCGGGGCCCGCATCCCCCATGCGGGCGGCGGCCCTCGCGGAGAGGAGGGCGGCGGACGAGGGGCACCGGCGGCGGCGGCAGCAGCAGCAGCAGCAGCCGCCAAAACCCAAGATCTGGTCCCTGGCAGAGACGGCGGCCGCCCCGGACGCGCCCAGGGGCGCGCTCGCCCCGCTCCTCGCCTACGCCGCTGCGCGGCCCTCGCGAGGCTTCTCCGCCTGGGAGGCCGTGCTGCCCAGGGGCCCCGGCCTCCTGCAGGGGCCCCTAGACGGTGCCCGGGACGGGCCCCGGCTCATGGACTCCACGATTGCGGAGTGCAGGACAGGTGCGTGTGTCCCTCTCCTGGCCGTCCACGTGCGTCTCTTCGTGTGTCTGTCTGTCTGTCCACGTGCGTCTCTTCACGTGTGTGTCTGTCTGTCCGTCCACGTGTCTCTTTGTGTGTCTGTCTGTCTGTCCACGTGCGTCTCTTCGTGTGTCTATCTGTCTGTCCACGTGTGTCTCTTCGTGTGTCTGTCTGTCTGTCCACGTGCGTCTCTTCGTGTGTCTATCTGTCTGTCCACGTGTGTCTCTTCGTGTGTCTGTCTGTCTGTCCACGTGCGTCTCTTCGTGTGTCTGTCTGTCTGTCCACGTGCGTCTCTTCGTGTGTCTGTCTGTCTGTCCGTCCACGTGTGTCTCTTCGTGTGTTTGTCTGTCTGTCTACGTGTGTCTCTTCGTGTGTCTGTCTGTCCACTTGCGTCTCTTCGTGTGTCTGTCTGTCCACGTGTCTCTTCGTGTGTCTGTCTGTCTGTCCGTCCACGTGTGTCTCTTCGTGTGTCTGTCTGTGTCCGTCCACGTGTGTCTCTTCGTGTGTCTGTCTGTGTCCGTTCACGTGTGTCTCTTCGTGTGTCTGTCTGTGTCCGTCCACGTGTGTCTCTTCGTGTGTGTGTCTGTCTGTCTGTCCACGTGCGTCTCTTCGTGTGTGTGTCTGTCCGTCCACGTGTGTATCTTTGTGTGTCTGTCTGTCTGTCCACGTGTGTCTCTTCGTGTGTCTGTCTGTCTGTCCGTCCACGTGCGTCTCTTCGTGTGTGTGTCTGTCCATCCACGTGTGTCTCTTCGTGTGTCTGTCTGTCCGTCCACGTGCGTCTCTTCGTGTGTGTGTCTGTCCATCCACGTGTGTCTCTTCGTGTGTCTGTCTGTCTGTCCGTCCACGTGCGTCTCTTCGTGTGTGTGTCTGTCCATCCACGTGCGTCTCTTCGTGTGTGTGTGTGTGTCCATCCACGTGTATCTCTTCGTGTGTCTGTCTGTCTGTCCGTCCGTCCACGTGCGTCTCTTCGTGAGTGTGTCTGTCCATCCACGTGCGTTTCTTTGTGTGTCTGTCTGTCCGTCCACGTGCGTCTCTTTGTGTGTCTGTCTGTCTGTCCACGTGCGTCTCTTCGTGTGTCTGTCTGTCTGTGCACGTGCGTCTCTTCGTGTGTCTGTCTGTCTGTCCGTCCACGTGCGTCTCTTCGTGTGTGTGTCTGTCCATCCACGTGCGTTTCTTTGTGTGTCTGTCTGTCCGTCCACGTGCGTCTCTTTGTGTGTCTGTCTGTCCACGTACGTCTCTTCGTGTGTCTGTCTGTCTGTCCATCCACGTGCGTTTCTTTGTGTATCTGTCTCTCTGTCCACGTGCGTCTCTTTGTATGTCTGTCTGTCCACGTGCGTCTCTTCGCGGGGATAGGGAGACGATGCCGACACCTCCCCCCATCACCCCCCCCCCCTCCCCGCTTGTTCCCTCTCTCCGTTGCAGAATTCCTCCGCGTGGCGACGCCGTAGCTGGCACGGCGCTCGTTCTGGGACGCGGTGCGAGATGCTCCCTCACGTGCGGGCCTCCCGCGAGGACCCCAGGTGTAGGGGTCTGGGGGGGGTCCGGGGGGGTCCGGAGGGGTCCGGGGCCCCTAGCGGAACGCTCGAGGACACAGCCTCAGGATTGGGTGCCGCTCCACGTGGGGAGCTGCCCCCCCAGGACAGGGGTCGAGGGGCTACGGATCCCTGCCGAAGGCCCCCCCCCGCCCCCAGCGAAGGGGTTCTCACGGGGGGATTGCGCAGATCCCCGGCGGGGACCCTCGGGCAAGTGGGGGGGTGGGGGGGGTTCACCGCGGGGCAGCGTGGGGGGGGGGGTGCCCGGCAGGCCCCGTGGACATGGCGGGACTGTGTGCGTGGGGGACGAGCCGGGACGTGGGCGCGGCGCGCGCGCGTGCCGTGTACAGAGTGGGCGCCGCGAGGGCTCCGCGCTGCCTCCTGTGCCGCTGCGTTGTCGATTTTTGGAATAAAACCACTCGTGGCCCACGATCCTCATCCTCCTCCCTGCCGCCACGCCGGCGGTTTCTTTGTCTCCTGCGAGGGCTCCCCCCCAGCCTGCCCCCCCCACCATGCCCCCCCCCACCATGCCCCCACCATGCCCCCCCACCCTGCCCCACCACCACCAAACAGGGGGACATCGTACGCACGCCACTCACACAGAAAGGACATCCGTGTCGGGAATCGAACCCAGGGATGCCCCTCCTTGCTTGGAGGCCACGCGAGTTTAGAAAGACGACGCTTTCCTCTGTGTCTCTGTGTCTCTGTCTCCTCTGTGTCTCTGTGTCTCTGTCTCCTCTGTGTCTCTGTCTCCTCTGTGTCTCTGTGTCTCTGTCTCCTCTGTGTCTCTGTGTCTCTGTCTCCTCTGTGTCTCTGTGTCTCTGTCTCCTCTGCGTCTCCTCTGTGTCTCTGTGTCTCTGTCTCCTCTGTGTCTCTGTGTCTCTGCTGTTGCCGTGGGGGGGGGGGGGGTGGTCACGATCCATGTTCGGGTAAATTCTGGCGCCCGCGGTTCGAGAAACAAATTTCATAATTGCCCGGCACATTCGTCGCCTAGCGTTATAATTTACCCGGTGATAATTAATGTTTGAATACTACCTTTTTTTTTACGAGCTAATATTTATCCCTAATTGCGCAGTAAAAGTTTCGGATGGTGCTTTTATGCCCTCGGTTTAGGCGACGTGATTTATTGATTATGATCGTGATCGTAATCGTAAAACTCGCACGCACGCACGGATAATAAACATTCGACTCCAGGAGTTTTGTTTGCAGCCCACAACCCCCCCCTCCCCCCCGTCACTTGCCGGTGGGGAGTGGTGGCACTGTGGTCAGCGGCACTGAAGCGCCAAACCCACCGACGACCCGAGTTTTGTGCCGCGGTGGTGAGATGTTAACTACCTCGCCTGGTGTACAGGAGGTCGTGGGTTCGATCCCGATCCCTGACGCCTGCTGTGTATTTGGAGTTTGCGTGTCTCTCTCTCATCATCATCACGGTGGCTAGGAGATGTTAACTACCTCGCCTGGTGTGCAGGAGGTCATGGGTTCGATTCCGATCCCTGACGCCTGCTGTATATTTGGGGTTTGCGTGTCTCTCTCATCAGCATCATCACGGTGGCTAGGAGATGTTAACTACCTCGCCTGCTGCTGCTGCTGTATATGTGGAGTTTGCGTGTATCTCTCTCTCATCATCATCACGGTGGCTAGGAGATGTTAACTACCTCGCCTGGTGTACAGGAGGTCGTGGGTTCGATTCCGATCCCTGACGCCTGCTGCTGTATATTTGGAGTTTGCGTGTCTCTCTCTCTCTCATCCCGTGGTCGCGTGGATTTTTCTCCGGGTCCTCCGGTTTTTTCCCTCCACATTTAAGAGTCAACGTCACCACGCGTTCAGAGTGTTTGGCTGTGCTGCTACACACTTCCAGACGATGATGACGATGATGATGACGATGATGAAGCCACTTTCGTTGAGCTGTCATTTGTGAGAGCTTGGGTCGCTTCAGAAAAAGAGCTACGTAGCTCAAGTGGGCCTTACCTGGTGCAATAAAAAAAGAGTTTAGCAGTTTAAAGATGCAATCCCCCTCGCCACGGCTGACTTCCAACGGATTTCCTCGCGATATCTGGACTGCCACCAACCACAGCCCCCCTGCTCAGCGCTGCTGTTCGTGCTGCCTGGATACCAAGGGTTAACTCTTCCACCACGGTTAGCAGTGGGGTAGCGATGGAGCGTGGGGGTTGGTGGTGGTGATGGTGGGGAGACTGAGTGGATGGCGGTGGGGGGGGGCGCGGATTAATGATGAGTGGCGATTTCGCGAGCGGCTATAGCTGTGGAGGAGAGAGAGGGGACCAGGCCACCCCACACCCCTCGCCACGTTCCCCGTCACCACGCGAGCCTCAATCCCTGCACCCTTGATAGCGGCCGTCGCCATCCCAGTGACTCCGCGTGCTGCTGATGATGATGATGACGACGATGATAGCCCCCTCTCTATCAGAGCCCTGGCAGCAGCAGCAGATTTGGAAGTGCGGCCTCAAGATTCCCTCCTTTCTCCTGCTGCTCCTCGTGTCAAGATCTCCCTCGCTCGCTTTCATCCACCGCGCGTTCATCTGCTGGGCCACGCGTTCACCTGCCATGCGTTCATCTGCTGGGCCACGCGTTCATCTGCCAGGCCACGCATTCATCTGCCATGCGTTCATCTGCCGTGTGTTCATCTTCCGGGCCACACGTTCATCTGCCGTGCATTAATCTGCCTGGCCACGCATGCATCTGCCGTGCGTTCATCTGCCGTGCGTTCATCTGCCAGGCCACACGTTCATCTGCCAGGCCACGCGTTCATCCGCTGCGCGTTTATCTGCCGGAGTCACAGCTGCTGCTGCTTCTCCGGCAGGTCCTGATCAGGCCCCTGGGGGAGGGTGATCAGAGTTTGGGGGGGGGGGGTGTGCGGGGCGATGAGGGGTGGAGGTTGGTGGGGTGGGAGGCGGTGGTTTTATTGGCCCTCAAATCACAGGGCCCTGCCGTCTGTAAGTATTTGACCCGGCTCACCTCGTCCCCAGGTTCTTAATTGCATGGCCTTTTCATCTGCGGCCAGGGTCGGGGTTCAAATGTCAGTGTGGGCGAGGCGGCCAGGGCTCTCCACCTCGGTGACAGAAGCTACCGCTCTCACTCATCGCAAGACGTCCTGGCGGGGCCCATACCGGGGCCCACCGCTCACCATCTCAAGCCGCTCGCCATCACAGCCCAATCACCATCTCACGGAGCCACTCACCATCTCAACCCACTCGCCATCACAGCCCACTCACCATCTCACGGAGCCACTCACCATCTCAAGGCACTCACCATCTCAAACCGCTCACCATCTCAAACCGCTCACCATCACAGCCCAACCACCATCTGACGGAGCCACTCACCATCTCAAGCCACTCACCATCTCAAACCGCTCACCATCACAGCCCAACCACCATGTCACGGAGCCACTCACCATCTCAAGCACCTCACCATCTCAAGCAACTCACCATCTCAACCCGCTCACCATCTCAAGCCGCTCACCATCTCAAGCCACTCACAATCACAGCCCACTCACAATCATAGCCCACTCACCATCTCAAGCCACTGACCATCTCAAGCACCTCACCATCTCAAGCCACTCACAATCAGCCCGCTCACCATCTCACGGAGCCACTCACCATCACAGCCCACTCACCATCTCAAGCCACTCACCATCTCAAGCCGCTCACCATCTCAAGCCACTCACCATCTCAAGCCACTCACCATCTCAAGCCGCTCACCATCTCAAGCCATTCACCATCTCAAGCACCTCACCATCTCAAGCCACTCACCATCTCAAGCCACTCACAATCACAGCCCACTCACCATCTCAAGCCACTCACAATCACAGCCCACTCACCATCTCAAGCCACTCACCATCTCAAGCCACTCACCATCTCAAGCCACTCACAATCACAGCCCACTCACAATCTCAAGCCACTCACCATCTCAAGACACTCACCATCTCAAGCCGCTCACCATCTCAAGCCACTCACCATCTCATGCCACTCACAATCACAGCCCACTCACCATCTCAAGCCACTCACCATCTCATGCCACTCACAATCACAGCCCACTCACCATCTCAAGCCACTCACCATGTCAAGCCACTCACCATCTCAAGCCACTCACAATCTCACGGAGCCACTCACCATGTCAAGCCACTCACCATCTCAAGCCACTCACCATCTCAAGACACTCACCATCTCACGGAGCCACTCACCATGTCAAGCCACTCACCATCTCAAGCCACTCACCATCTCAAGCCACTCACAATCATAGCCCACTCACCATCTCAAGCCACTGACCATCTCAAGCCGCTCACTGGGAGGAGGCGAGGGGACCCACAGACCCTGGGAGCGTGAGCGAGGAGGAGGAGGGGGTTGCCTGGGGCCCTCGCAGAGAGGTGGGGGCGTGTAGCGCGGCGTTGAGGTCACCTCTTGGACGGAGTCCACGAGGCCACTCCGATGTAAACGCTGAGGCAGAGAGAGAGAGGAGACCGAGCGAGAGAAAATAACAAATAAACGACTCCCAAAAGCCGCACGGCTGGACGCGTGGGTCGGGGCGTAATCCGCCTAATGACAGCCACGGCCACGGCCACCGCCGATCTCTGCGGCTGCTGGGCCCAAAGGGGGGGGGGCGATGTGGGGGGGGGCCGCCCCATCAACAACAAATCCGTCGCGTAAATCAGCGACGAGCGGTCGCGGGGAATCAATGCGGAGTGACGCGCATCGACAACAGCAGCAGCAGCAGAAGAAGCTTCAGGAGCAGCGGCCGCCTCTTAATTAAAGCGAGCGCCTTTAATTGTCCCGGGTGGGCAGACGCGGGGTTGGGACGGGCAGATTTGGCGAGTGGCGTAGGGGGAGGAGGGGAGTGGGGTGGGAGGGGGGTGGAACGGTGAGGATGGCGAGACCCCCCCCCCCACTCCCCCGCGTGGGCAGCAATGGGGGGCACGGGAGGGAACCGCGTGGTGGTGGACATGATGGAGCCGAGTGTACCAACACCGCCACCAGCCACTCGTGTGCCCTTGTTAGCTTGGCCTTCACAGATGCAACTCGCTAACATCACTTTGCCCCAGGAGTCTGTTGAAGGCTGTACGGGGGATCTTTGTCTTTGTACACGTGGGTGAGCGGTGGTGTAGCGGTCAGCGCTGTGCTGCGAACCCGGCATCCCGAGTTCAATTCCCGCTCACGGCCAACATCGGTGACAATTATCTGAGCCAGTCGTGCACCTCCCCTAGGTCGACTCGGCCTCAAATGAGTAGCTGGCGCGGTGTGTAAACATCGCCACTGGGGGAGACAAAGGCGGCCGGGCGTGGTGCTGGCCTCCCACCCCCTCGTGTGACATTCCGGCCTTCACAGGTGCTGCTCGCTAACAGCACTTGCCCCAACAGTCTGTTACAGGCTACACGGGGGATTTTTGGTGTATGCGTGGGTGTCGTCCGTGGGTGCTGGATA